TTTCTAATATTTTTTCGTAAATAGGCAATTTGTTTATTGGTCTGAATTCCTCCATCTTTTTTGTGCCTCGAACTTTAGGTATTGGAATCACAATCGCCTCTTTCCACTGTTTAGGAACCACTCCTTCCTCCAGTGACCTATTCAGCATTTCACACACTTTCTCGCCTGTTACATCCATTACATATTTCATTATTTCCACAGTTATACCTTCCTCCGTACCTGCCTTATTTTTCAAGTCCCTAACTATCTTTCTTAACTGCTCGATTTCGACTCTCATGAATATATCCCATTCCTTATTTGTATACTTTACATTACCTATCCTGTCTTCTTCCTGGTTTCTATTTATTAGCTGATTTATACTGTCTACAAAATAATAGTTAAACATGTCTGCCATTTCTTCTACATTTCTAATTACCCTATTCCTACATTGTATTTCCTCATACTGTTTATTTGTTACTTTGCCTTTTAACATCTCTTTCAGAACCTCCCACATTTGCTTCGGATCTTTTTTACTTCTATCTAATTTTTCTTCTAAATAGTCTCTCTTTGCTTTTCTGCATATATCTACTGTTTTATTCCTTAGCTGTCTAAACAATTCCCAGTCCTCGTTATTTTTACTGTCACGAGCTACCCTATATGCCCTATCCCTCTGTTTTACCATTTGATAAATATCCTGTGAAAACCATTGCTTTCCTTTCCACTCCTCTTTTAGTGTAATCTCCCTTTGTGGTGCAGTTATATATCAAGGCATTTAACAATCCCATTTATCACTGAATTTGCTAACCTATCAATATTATCTCCTTCGATGTCGTTTAGATACATACATAACAATCTCTTAAATTCCTCTACATTCATTCGCTTGTAGTCTCTGTATATGATAGTACCATCCCTATGCTCCTCCACATTTATACTCCAGCATATCATTATTGCTGAATGATCCGTTATCCTGGGTTCATGACATACCTTAATTTCCATTTCCATATTAGTAAAAACCAAGTCAATTATTGTTTCTGACGTCATTGTGATCCTTGTGGCTTCACTGACCACTTATTTTAACCCTACGGAGTACATTACTCTTGTTAGTTTATTTTGGATATAGTTATTAACTTTTCATATCTATGTTAAAATCCCCCATGATAATAACGTTATCATTCAGCATATTATTAGTACAAGTTTCCTCCAGATAATCCACAAATTTCGCATCACTACTATTCGGCGAGTGGTAGACTATCATAATCAGACTTTTATAATTTTTATTTTTTATTTTCACTGTTATTGTCCACCAATTTTTCTCGCTAGTTTCTATCGCTATTACTTCGAATTTAATTTTGTTACTTATATACATCAATACTCCACCTGTTCTACTACTCTCAGAGTCGCCTCGCACGCATACATATCCGCTTATTTGTAATTCATGATCCTCTACTATTTGTGTTATATGAGTTTCTGTAAGACCTACTATACTCGGTTTGAATTTTCCTATCATGACATTTTCTATTTCGTCTTTATGTTTTAAAAACCCCTGAGCATTTAAACAAATTACGCTATTTTTTACCTTAGTCATGTCTATTGGTTGCTATATATTATCACATTGGTTTTTATTTTTTTGCTTTTCTATTTCTTTTTACGAAGCACGGGCAATTACTGTCATACGCTGTGTGGTCTGATTTCAAATTTTTAATTTTAAAATTATTGATTTTATCCTCACAATTAACACACTTTATTATCTCACTCCTACAATCTTTAGTCGCATGTTGTTCCGCGCAATTTCCACACGTTTCTTTTTTGGTACAGTCTTTTGCAAAGTGGTAATATCCACAACACTTGAAACATCTTAAAATTCCTATATAGTCCTGCACTCTACATACTTTCCACCCTATTTTTAATTTTCCTATTTTTAAAAGCTTCTCTCTTGTCTCTGCATTTACCTCTGCTATGATTGTCGTCCCTTTTGAATTTGTTGCTCTTTTCACCTTATGTACTACTTTCCCATCGACTACTTCACCTTTGAGTCCATTTTGTTCTTTTATTTTCTCCCAAAAATCTTGTTCGTTTTCGCTATCTTCCTTATCAACATCAAATATCTTTATCCTCAGTTTTTCTTCTTCGGTACTTGTATTACATATTTTTCTCCCATATCTTTCGTGACTTCCTCCATTAGCTTCTCTGCTTGAGCTTTGTTTTCGCATCCTACCACGACCGCTCCTCTTGTTACTTTTTTCATCTTTGTAATTCCGACTCCCAATTTTGAGATATCTATTTTATTTTTAATATCTCTTTTCGTTGCCTCACTCGCGTTATACTCTTCTTCGTCGTTTCGTTCCTTTGGCCTGATTATTAATACCGATTCACGCTTGTCCTTCGCTGCTTCGCTGTAGCTTTTCTTTACCTCTCCTGCTTCTTTACATAGCATTGGCATTATATTTTGTATTTCTCTTTTTACCGCTGTGCTTATTTGCGCTTCCATTTCGGTGGACTTCCAATGTTGTATTTCCTGTTTTACTCTTTTCATTTCCTCGCTGATCGCCTCCATTATGGTTCTTATAATTATTTCCTTTCCTATTATTTCATCCTTTACTTGCTTTAACATCTTATATATATTGTCTATTTTACTATCCGTTATACTTCCTGGTGTTTGCACATTTCTGTCATGAGGATTTAGTCCGTCTTCAACATCTGACAATTTTCTATCTCTGTTAATTTCTCCCATCGCGTTACCGCCTTCGTTTCTAACAGTATATCTTTCCATTTTTCCATCACAGGGTATCAGTTCGTTCGCCTTGTTATATACTTTGTGCTGCTTATGACAGCTGGGATGGAAGACCCTATCACATGGCACACATTTGCATGCTTCGGTTTTGATCTCCTTCTTGCATTGCCTGCATGTTACCGGCACTCGGAATTTATCCATCACTCACTACCTCTTCACCCCTCTCGCACTCACTCCTCCTCTCTACCGCACACTGTACCGTTGTCCCTTGCCGTCTGCGCCACTGCTTTCCTGCCGCTCAGCGCCTTCGCCAGTGTTTTCTCTTTCCGATAGACAATCCGCCTAGGTCAAATACTTTCCCGCTTGACGGTAACTACCT